TTTTTTAATTTTTCAAGTTTTCCATATCTGAGTAGTTGAAATTTCTCCTTGTTGAACTTCATATTGTTTTGAGTAGCCCATTCGAAGATTTGGTTGATGTCCGCTTGGAGTCTCGCAGTGTCTTCGATGGAGGTCACTGCCATGGTGCTATGGGTGTCATCCGCAAAGGAAGACACCGAGCTATGGCTTACATCTCTGTCTATGTCAGAAATGAGGATGAGGAATTCAAATTCAAAGTTTATTCTCTATAAGGATTACAATGCTGAGTTTACAGAAATTTGGTTATTGTGTGGTTTACATGTAGTAAAATAGTGATTACAGAGTGTACCACTAGAACGCTTAGCATGGCAGAATTGGAGCGAGTACTGTGCCTTGTGGAACAGAGTTTTTTACCATGGTTGCCTGGGACTTTACTCTGTTTACTATTACTCTTTGTGTTCTATTTGTCAGGAAGTTGTAGATCCATCTACCAACTTTTCTCGTTATTCCTTTATCCCACATTTTGGTCTGTGTTTACTACATTTGTATTTTGTTTATCCTCTACAGCATCCAGGACCTTGTCATAATGGTCCAGTAGCTGGGACAGGCAGGAGTGACCTGCTCTAAACCCGTGTTGTCCTGGGTTGTGTAACTGATGAGTATCTAGGTGGGTGACTATCTTGCTTCTTAGAACCCTCTCAAAGATTTTTATGATATGGGATGTTAGTGTTACCGGTGTGTAGTTCTTTGCAATTGCTTTACTGCCACCTTTGTGGAGTGGGGCTATGTCTGTTGTTTTTAGTGTGTGTGGGATGACCTCTGTGTCCATGCTCCCTCTCCATAAAATGCTGAAGGCACGCGATAGGGATTTCTTGCAGTTCTTGATGAACGCGGAGTTCCATGAGTCTGGGTCTGGGGCAGAGTGCATGGGCATGTTATTACTTGCCCCTTCAAAATCTTGTGGAGTCAATAATATCCGAGATTTTTGGAATGACCAAATTTTGGGTTTTGTTCATAAAGAATTCATTTGGATTGTCGGCCCTTAGAGTGGACAGTGGCTCGCTGAACACTGAGTCATATTGGGACTTTAGTATCTTACTCATTTCTATGCTATCATCTGTGTGTGTCCCATCCCGCCTAAGCAGGGGCCCAATACTGGATGTTGTTTTTCCCTTTGATTTGGCATAAGAGAAGTATTTTGTTTTTTGTTTTTTCAGTTTCCTTTATGGCATTTAGTTCTTCCTGTGATTCTTGTCTCATGTAAGATTCCTTCAGCTTAAGTTTGACATTTGCAATTTCATTGACTAGTGCTTCCCTTCGTATTTCAGATATATTGACCCCACTCAGCAGCTCTGTGACTCTTCACCTTCGTCTGTATAGGGAACGTCTCTCTCTAGTTTACATCTCTTTCTTTTTATTAATTTAATGTGTCTTGAACAGATCTCAAGAACAATAGAATTCATTTTTTTCAGGGCAGATATTCGGGTCCGTGTTGTTTAGGATATCTTCCCAGTTTGTTTCATTTAGGACATGGTTTACTTGGTCCCATTGTATGTTTTTGTTATTGAAATTAAATTTCGTGAAGAGACCTTCATGACTGATCACATTTTGTTGGTCAGAAGCCCTGTGCATACATGTCTGTACCTCTCTTGTGTTGTGATCTGGGTGAATTGTCTTTGATACAGTTATATTACGTATCAGATCATCATTGTTAGTGAAGATTAGGTAAAGCGTATTTTCTAGTCTTGTAGGCTCTGCTATTTGCTGATTTAAGGTGAACTTCTGGCAGAGATTTAGTAGTTCGTGTGTGTGTGAATTTTCATCTGAGCTGCCTCCCGGGGTGATCTCTGCTAAAACATTGTTTGCTATACCATACATATACATGTAGTGTATACAATACATATACATGTAGTGTATACCATGAATATACATGTAGTGTATACCATACATATACATGTAGTATATACCATACATGTAGCATATACCATACATATACAAGTAGTGTATACCATACATGCACAGGAGTGTATACCATACATATACATGTAGTGTATACCATACATGTACAGGAGTGTTTACCATATATATATATACATGTAGTGTATACCATACATATCCATGTAGAGTAGTGTTTACCTGCAGTGAGGGAGGGTCCTTGTGGTAGCCCAGCATGGTGATGCTGGTGTCTGGGGTGGCCACCACAGAACCCAGCTCCAGAGCTCCGTTGTCAGGCCAGGTCAGCACAAAAGCGTAAACCACGTCAGATTTGGTGGTATACCTGAAGTGAACAACAATTCCATCATATTGACGAGCTTATTAATTTAATGAAACCCACATTTTCTTCAGCATAAGTGTGAATGACTTAAAACTGTTATTGAATCTTACATGTGCAGGATATATTATGAAAGGGCCATAGCTAGTGAAGATGATGGGAAATGGGTGGGGTGTGGTTAAGATGACAGGGAATGTGTGTGCGGTGTGAACTGTGAAAGTAATGGGGAATGGGTGTGATGGAGTGCAGGTGATGGGGAATGGGTGTGGCGTAGTAAAGGTGATAGAACATAAGAACATAAGAAAGGAGGAACACTGCAGCAGGCCTGTTGGCCCATACTAGGCAGGTCCTTTACAATTCATCCCACTAACAAAACATTTGACCAACCCAATTTTCAATGCTACCCAAGAAATAAGCTCTGATGTGCAAGTCCCACTCAAATCCAACCCCTCCCACTCATGTACTTATCCAACCTAAATTTGAAACCACCCAAAGTCCTAGCCTCAATAACCCAACTACGTAGACTGTTCCACTCATCAACTACCCTATTTCCAAACCAATACCTTCCCGTGGTAATGAGTGTGGTGTAGTGAAAATGGAGGGAATTGGCGTGATGTAGTGAATGAGATAGGGAATGAGTGTGGTGAACGTGGTAGATAATGGATGTGGTGTAGTTTAAATGTGAGTGATAAAGTATAAACTGGAGTAGTGGAGAGCAAATAGAAGTGTCGGAGTGTGACTTCAAGTGATGAGTGCGAATATAAGTGATGGTATATAATTATGTCACAGAGTGTAAATTATAAATGGGAGTGATGGGGTGTAAACAAGAGTAGTGGGTTGTATAACAGGCATCAACACTAAAGAAATGTATTATTCTATGCACTGGCTACTTTGTGCAGACGTGTTGTTTTTACGTATATCAGGACACAATGTAATATTAACAATGAAAATTAAAAACTAAGTCAAATTTTTCAAGTAATAAAACAGAAGTATCATGATTATTTGCTTTACATGATTTTCATTTAGCTTAATTATAGCTTAATGTGCTACCACACATTAGGCTATAAAGCTTAATATGCTACGATACATTAGGCTAGAAAGCTTGATGTGCTACCATACATTTGGCTGGAAAGCTTTATGTGCTACGATATATTAGGCTAGAAAGCCTAAGGTGCTACCATACATTAGGCTGGAAAGCTTAATGTGTTATGATACATTAGGCTGGAAAGCCTAATGTGCTACTTGTTTTATGGGTTATTTGATAGTTCTTGCAGAGCGGGGTTCAATGATAAGACTTCGGAGGCTTGTTGCTTTATTTGTAATGTTGTGGGATACACAGGCAGTGTGTTTGAGCGCCCAAGGCCCAGGAGGGCCATGCCCAGCGAAGGAGAGAGGAGTCAGCCCTGTTGACCGAGTGAAGTGAACTGCTTGAGTGAGGGAGAGGCAGGGCTGGGCACACTGAAGTGGTAGGCCTACAGGTGGCAGCACCAGTATGGCGCAAAATATGAACTCAGCTGGCAGACAGCATAGGTTCTTTGCAGACAGTACAGGCTGTCTACATTCACTCTGCCACCTACCACATGGTCGTCCCTGACCATGACTGGCTATAAAAAATTCGTTCTTTCTCTCGCAGGAACAAGGCACAGAAGACATAATAAAAAACACACATATATATAATATATATATATATATATAATATATAATATATATATATATTATATATATATATAAATATATATATATAATATATATATATATATATATATATATATATATATATACATATATATATATATATATATATTTTATATATATAATATATATATATATATATATATATATATATATATATATATATATATATATACATATATTATTTTATATATATAAATATATATATATATATAATATATATTATATATATATAATATGTACATATATAAATATATATATATATATATATATTATATATATATATATATATAATATATATATATATATTAAATAATATATAAATATATATATATATATATATATATAATTTTATACAAATATATATAAAAAATATATAAATATATATAAAATATATATAAAATATGTAGGGGGGAAAATTTTATGGGGGTGTTACCTGTATGTACCTCAACATTATATACATACAAAAAACTCAATGGGAGACAACCATATTTTTTTAACCCCGTATCCCCCCCCTTTAAACCCGGGTGAGAAAATTTAACCACCCCTGGTTCCACGGAAAAGTGGTTCCTTCGACTCCAATCTTATCCACATCTATCCAACCAGAAAGGGAAATTGGATAGCACCCACAAGTACGGGCAACTAATTAATTGGGGACTGAAATAGTTTTAAAATTAGTTTAATGAATGAAGAGGGGTGGGGGTGGGTTTAACACATGGATTTTACCCCGGGATTTTTTTATCCCCCACTTACCAGATATTCTCGGGTGGGGTCACTTAATGAAAGCTGGATCACCATAACCAAACCAAAATTACAACTTTACCTAACTGGCCAGTATCAGTCTGCTAAAACCTAAAAGGTTTACTTAACTGGGGGGTAAATTGATATTTCCTTTAAATTCCCCTTTTTTACCATCTCTTTTTGGGGATGTCCTGAAAACACCGAAAAAGGGTTTCCCTTAAATTCCAGGGGACAGGTTTTCCGTCGGTTTGCCCCTTTTTTTAAAAACGTGTTTCCATAAAGCTTCACTATCCGGGTTTACGAGAATCACGCTTTTCACGTTCACTGGGGAGCAGGGCATCTTTTTCACACCCCGCTTTTTCTTTTAAAATCTTTTTATTATCACTAAATTCCCTTTACCACACAAGACGTTTAAAAAACGTCTCAAAATTTAAATTATACACTTTAAAGAGGTAAACTCCCTTAAGATCTGAGGCCGATAAAGCGGGGATTAACACACGGGAAATTTCCCGGGACACACACCATGGCCTGCACCAGTCACCCCCGGTAAAACCCCCTTTATTCACTAATTTTAAACCCCCTTTTTAAAACGGTGGTCCCGAAATCAGGGTTCCCTCACACTTCACCAGGAACATTACAAACCTTTCCCCTATTAAAAAAATGGGGCATATATTAATCCTTAGGCTCCGTGAATCCAATTTCCTGGTTCCATGCTTTCCCAGCCTCCTCACCACTTTCAAAACACCCCGGGCCCCCCCCATGGGGCCCCAAACGACCAAAAACCCCCGCACACCGCGAAAGGCAAAGGGAACTTTTGGGTTCAAATCCTTTTTGTCAAATACATTTTTGATTCAATCGACCCATTAAACCCTATTGGGTTTCTATAGCTTGGAAAATAAAAATTTTTTCCACACTGGGGGGCCGGGGAGGTCGTTGCTGAACGACTTACATAATGGGAGTAAAATTTTCCCCCATCTTACTGGCCACCTGGCTTGGGAACTCCAACTTTTGGTTTTTTACATAATCACCCATTAATTCTTTCCACCTGTTAACTCCTCAGGTGGGGCCCTCCATCCAAAGCACACCCCAAGCCTCCATGTTTTCGGGTATTAAACAATTTCCCTCTTATTGTAAGGTTAAACCCCCTTACAATAAGGGGGACTAATTTTTTGGGGCATACGGGAATTATGAGATTTTTTAAAAATTACAAGCCCTCTCTCAGTATCCCAAGTCCCCCCAACAATTACTGATATGGGCCCCAAATTTCCTTTGGCCATCCAAAATTTTTGTTTCCCTCAAAATGGACAAATTTAAAGTTTTCCCAAATTCTCTCAGGGGAAATAACCCCTATGCTCCCCGGTTAAAATTTTTTGGGGCATACTGGAATTATGAGATTTTAAAACAATAAAAAGTCTCTCCCCAGTTTTCCCAAGTCACCCCAGCACATTACTCCCTTATGGGCCAAACAACTCCTTTGGCCCCTCCATATTTATTGATCCCCAAAATGGACTAATTAGTTTCCCAAATTCTCTCAGGGGATAACCAAATGCTCCCTGGATTAATTTATTGGGCATACGGGAATTATGAGATTTTTAAACAATAACAAGTCTCTCTCAGTACCCCAAAGTCAGCCCCAGCACATTACTGCAATATTTCATTAACCCCTTCATTTTTCCCCTCATTAGTTCCTCTTCAGTTTGACGTCAAAAAACCCCGAAATTGTCCACAAAAGATTTTTTCCCCAAATTTATTTCGCTCAGGGGAAACCACCTGTCCACTTAAGGTTTTCTTTTATCGCCCGCCCTGACGTAAGAAAAATTTTTAATTAAAAAAACTTTTAAATTAATTATAAAATTAAAAAGAAACCCCAACCCAATTTTTGGGGGTTTTCTCATTCGCAGACGGGGCCCTTAAACTGTCCAAAACGCCACCCCATAATTATTTAGATAATTTTCTGGACGGTTGAGCTTCCAGGGGAATTTCGCACCCAGAAAATGCCCCAGATTCACATTTAACACCCTTCAGGTATTGTTCCGGGATAAACGAATCTTTTAAACTTTCCTCATTATTTTAAAATCCCTATGCTGTCCCCGCTCCCAAAAATTAACTGGTTTTAAAATCATTTTTCGATAGAAAATACTTGTACGGGGGGTTTACCTTTTTTTAGCAAGACAACCCTGACCGTATTCACTACTTTTAGCATTATTACTAGGCGGTATCCCGCCATATATTTCAAAGGGGCCCGTCCATGTTGAGGAGAGTACGCCGCCTGCTTTTTTGGGTTTATGGGCCCCTTTTTCCTAATTTTTTACATCCAACGCCACAAAGGGTACCTCAACTAGGCCCTCATTAATTTTCCATTAGCGCAACCTTTAAATCATCACTGTATGTCAAGGGGTATTAAAATTTTCGGTTTTTGTCACCCTTTTTATAAGGGAAAACACAAACAACCCCGCACATAACTGGGATGGTGCCTTCCCCTTTTGCAATTTTAGCAACTGTTCAATTTGGGGAAAGACAATTTCCCTTTTCATTATATTGTCCAGACATCTGATAAATCCCGTCAAGGTTTT